ATATTTAATTTATACAGTACAACATTTCGGCGTTTCCATCCCAGCCCATGTTTATTAAAGGAAATGCCGACAATAATCCCGTTTTCTTTTTTTGCCGTTTTTCTTGAGAAATTATACGTTTTTTGTTTCCAAATGCACCTGGTCATACTAGTGAAATAACTCATTTATGATCGAGTGCTCGTTGATGAGTATTGACGATTTTTAATTATTTTTGGTCATATTGAACTTATTCTTGTATACGAGATTTCTATTCGGATGCCTGTTATTAAAAGTCACTGCCGCTTCTTGATGACTTTTATAATCATCTCCCACAATCAAAACTAGCGTTTTGACGTTTGCTATCAAAAATTCCATTGGTTTGTCAGTGCATCTTACAGGAGAAGGTAAGGTAGTCGGATTTTTTAATTTTTGATATTTATGGTACGTGTAGTTTGGACCTTGAATAAGAATTTTTCGAAGTAGTTCGACGCAACGTTCGTAAATTACTGAGATAATCGATTTTGAAGTTTTACCTGACAGCTAAATCCACTAGATCTGGCACATTGTTCAACTGGGAGCGTGGCATAATTGGTAGCGTTCGGGACTGACAGTCACGAGATCGCTGGTTCGAGTGTGTCGCGTGACATTTTTTTTTTTTCAAAACGCAGCATATAGGTTTTTATTATTTTTTTCATCTCGAAAATTATGAACAAACGAAATATTATAATAAACACTTATGTATATGTAGGAATATTCTTCAAATATTTCATTAAAATGCACAATTGGTTGATAAACAATATTTATTATGAATTAACAATAAAGTTTCTTTAAAAAAAACAAACCAGGTCAAGTAGATTTTTTATTTTATTTTTAGTATTTGACATTTTATGCAGTGTGGCATAAACCAGAATGATAGTTATCATAGAAACATGGGAAGCAGAAACTTTTTATGCCCGAGCAAGTGTGATTTTTTAAACACGGTGGACGACCCACACAGCCTAGATCAAAATGTTAATTAAACATTTGAAGAATATTCCTACATGCAGTTCTCATAATATTTCGTTTGTTCATAATTTTCGAGATCAGAAAAAGAAAAAGAAAGGAAGCTAGATGCTTAAAAAATTTCTGCTTCCCATTTTTTTATGATAACTACTATTCTGGCTCGTGCCACACTGCGTAAAATGTCAAATAGTAACATAAATATAAAATAAAAGAACATCATACCTGACCGCGTTTGTTTTTTTTTTTTTTTAATGAAATCTTATTGTTAGTTCATAATAAATATTGTTTATCAACCAATTGTGCTTTTTAATGAAATATTTGAAGAATATTCCTACATATACATAAGTATTTATTAAATATTTCGTTTGTTCATAATTTTCGAGATGAAAAAATAATAAAATACCATATGTTGCGTTATGAAAAAAAAAGTCACGCGACGGACTCGAACCAGCGATCTCACGACTGTCAGTTCCGAACGCTACCTATTAGGCCACGCTCCCAGTTAAAGAATGTGTCACATCTAATGGTTTTAGCTGTAAGGTATAACTTCAAAATCAATTATCTCGGTAAATTATGAACGTTGCGTCGTACTTCGAAAAATTCTTATTCAACGTCCAAACTACACGTACCACAAATATCAAAAATTACAAAAATCCGACTACCTTACCTGTTAGATTTAATGTCTATCTCTAGACGTAAATTATCAATGCTAATACGGAGAAGAGTTTGTAAAAATAACAAAATCTGTTTTTTAATGGTAAATGGATAATATTGGATACCTGACCGTAGTTTTCTATTTGGATCAACTTTAAATAACGATTGTCGATATTTTAAAAAATAAAGGTACTTTACTCTTGAGCAAAATTTACATTTTTCGACAAACCTCGTATACGACTGCAAAAAATTGAAATCTGATTATTTCATTTTGGATTTTAGGCCATGCAGAACTCTTCATCAAGAATAACTTTTTCTCATAAAACCAAAAAAGAGAAGGAGCGTTAAATTGACGTCCACGGGATGTCGGTTATTCAATTTTGTATTGCGATGAAATTTGTTTGTACAATTGCGGTACAATAATTGTATTAATTCTAAATTGACACAATTATTGAAGTAAAAATTGTAACGTTAGT